AGTCGCTCTCATCAAATCTGCACACCCAGATTGGTCTCCTGCAGCCATACGATCAGCCCTCGTCACTACTGGTGAGTCGCATTCAGTAAAATTCTTCTCTTTTTTTTTTTTCCTTTTTGCTTCTTCTTCTTCTTCTTGCAGTCCACACTTGACTCTAATAGACAAGCAATCACCAGCATCACAAAAGGGAACAGATGGAATGGACATAACCGAGATGGGACCAAAGCTCAAAAAGGCTGATCCATTCGACATTGGTGGTGGGCATGTCAATCCCAACAGAGCAATAAATCCAGGACTTATTTACAATATTAGCAAACAAGACTACATTCAATTTATGTGTGCCATGGGTTACAGCAACATATCCATTAGCAGATTAACCAAAACAAGAACCAACTGCATGAAAAGCAATCACGTCATACTTAACCTCAACCTGCCTTCTATTACCATTCCCAACTTGAAGAGGGGAGTAACAGTCATGAGGTGTCTAATGTGGGAGACATTGATTCAGAATATAAAGTCCTAGTAGAAGCTCCATATGGTGTTCAAATGGTAGTTGAACCTCAAATTCTACGTTTCAATTCAACCATCCGAGCTCTTCCCTTCAAAGTTACCTTTTTCTCAACTCAAAAGATGCATGGAGATTACAGATTTGGAAGCTTAGTATGGACAGATGGCAAACACTTTGTAAGGAGTCCCATATCCATACGTGCGATCAAGTTTAATTCATATGCAGATGTATAAACGAAATGCAAAAAATCAGATTACCATGTAATTTCACTGCATCAACTGTTTTGGAAGAAAATTATGTTGAATAAAAATTGCGAAGGGAGGGACCATCACTATCTAATGGCCTTTTATGATTTTTCTCACACATTCTACCAGAATCCTTATGTGGAAAACTTTGAAATGACTTATTAGGTGAAGAATTTTCCCACCATACAATACATCACCATGGATGAATCGACAACCTTTCAATCTGAAAAACTAAGATGGTTTGGTAAAAGTTTCCATGGTCGCAACTATCAGACAATAATCATGACCAAGCAACTACGGTCATTAACTATATATTAAAAGAACATGGGTTAATTACAGGCCTTGATTGTAAACTAGTTATAATTTAAACACATAAGCTTAAAAAACTCTCCTCCACTCAACAAGCCTTTTATCCTAATTACTTTGGGATTTTACGTAAGCATTCAACCATTATTTAAATTTCCATGTCAAATACTTGAACAGTAATTCCTGGAGATTGCAGTTTCTATTTGATTTTGAGGACATTTTGGATGCGCATCGAGCTAACACCTTCATACAAGTATGAAATAATTTTAATACCAATTGAATTATGCTTAGAGGGTGTGTGTGAAAAGAATAAATTATGACAAAAGATAAATCACTTTTTATTCCATATGCTGAAATATATATATACAAAGAAATTATAATCATATTCGCATGATTACGTGTGATAATCCCATTCTGTGTTATGCCGTTAATCTTTAATTACACTTGTGATTATGTGCTTAATATGAATTTGGATGCTAAGTATGTGATTATATGCATTTTTGAATTTATATTTGTCCATTGTAGAGAAATTTGTTCGATATTCTGTAATAAACTGAAATTGAAGGCCGTAAAGGCGACAGAAACACTACAACAAAAAGTGTCTTTGGAGATGAAAGCTAATGACGAAAATAAATTTTGTCACGAAAGACGTACCTTCTAGTGAAGAAAATAATTTTTAGTCTCCAAATGTTCCATTTTTAGAGACAAAAATAAAATTTCGTTACCAATCTACATACATAATAAAAAAATTAGGTGACGAAATTATTTTTCGTCATTATTTATTTATTTTTTTGTCACCAAAGATTTTCCCGCTAATTCTTCGGATGGTGCCAAAATTTTCAAACTTTTGGTGAGGAAAAAATTGGTCACCAATAATAAAATTATTAATGATGAATATATTTTCGTCACCAATAATTTTTAATATTTTAATATCATTTAGTGAGAAAACTATTTTTATGGCCAATAATTTTATCTTTTGGTGAGGAAGTAATTTTGTCACCAAATAAATGGTTTAGTTGCTAAAGGTTTTTAGAGGGAAACGAATATATAGGCGCCTTAGATATATCGGTTCTTCTTCTCACACACAGATTTGACCACCAAACCTCACCCTACATGACCCCACCTTAGCGCACACCACCAATGCCGCTCGCCACCAACGCCGCTCGCCACCACCGCCCCCCCCACCACCACCACCACTACCACCAACACTGCCAGCAGATCACCGCCGCTGCATCCTCATAGCTATTCTCTCACTCTCGATCTGTCTCTATCTCACCCGCGGTCTATTTTTCGCTTTGTCTACCTTAGTCACTCTTTCTCCCTCTCTGTCCCCCTTTCTCTATTTCTGTCATGACCCGAACCCGCCCCTATGGGTTAAGGACATAACCGGCCAGTAATCCTGAGATTACCTACGGCCTCAGACCAAAACAGACATAACTCGTCAGAGTAAAGAGGCCAAACGGAAGCAATAATTAAAAACTTTGTCCATAGAGCCGTGCTTATATGCACATCAAACAAACCATACACGTATATGTTAATAACCCACAACAAAATACAGTACCATAAAATCCTTTACAGACAGGATCATCCAAACTGAGTCAACCCATATCAAAGCTATATACAAATATACATAAAGTCCTTGCCAACAAGACAACTATGAATGCATAACAAAATGGCAAGGATGGGTCTCGTGCGTGAGACACAAGGCTGACTCTCCAAACCTCATGTTGTTCCTGGTATACTTCACTGGGGCTAGGTTTGGACTTCTCTTGGCTCACCTACAAACACATGAATGAGCGTGAGCAATAGCCCAGTGAATAATATCAAGTACAAAATTTACATAACAATGTAGGACAACATGTTCCAAACGGCCTTTGGCCCAATTCACATTCCTACTTAACATATATATACTTATACAAAATTTAGATCAAGTGACTGTAGTTCTAACATACTGGCCTTCGGCCCATTCAGGTTTCCATTCCTATCAAAACGGCCTTTGGCCCATCCATTTATGTCAAAACGGCCTTCGGCCCATCCATTTATGTCAAAACGGCTTTCGGCCGATTCATTTCTGTCAAAATGGCCTTTAGCCCATTTACGTCAAAACGGCCTTTGGCCACTCATTCATGTCAGAACGACCTTCAGACCATTCATATAGGTCAAAACGACCTTCGGTCCGTTCATGTATATCAAAACGACCTTTGGTCCATTCATTTACATCAAAACGACCTTTGGTCCATTCATTCCTATCAAAACGACCTTTGGTCCATTCATTCATTCCTGTCGGACTTTTGTCCGCAATCCCAATTAACAACTCATAAAGTTTATAAGGGAATAAACAATTGGACATTGACAAGCTTTCAAATATTGATATTACTCACAGTGATCGGCTTGCGGATTTGCCCTGGAGCTTGACCCTACACATTGCATGAACACAAGAGGGTCACTAACAGTTCAATCCGTTCTTTAATTCACATATTCCTCTTTAGGCTTCATTCCTATCTCATTTACTCATTTACAATGTTTAACACATGCCTAAGAGTGTTTACAAGTGAAAGAGAACGGAAAACGAAACACAGAACGCATGAATGAAATTTCAGAAAACAGGGTCCCTGCTCGAGTGTGGACTTCCCCGCTCGAGCGGACCCAAGAGGCCTGCAAAAGTACTGGTTACCTCAAAATTACGCTTGAGCGCGAATTAGGGAGCTCGAGCGGAAGGCTCGTCTACAAAAGCTCCTCGCTCGAGCGTGAAATATCCTGCTCGAGCGAACAGCCGACTCTGCAAAAAGTGCTGGGAGCACGAAATTTACGCTCGAGCGTAGTTTCTCCCGCTCGAGCGAGCCTCAAAATTCTGGAAAACCCAGAATGTGTTCTTGAGCTCAAATTCGGTTTCCAACCAACATATCTTGTATGCAATGACTCAAATCTCAAATATAATTATACTAACATGATGTAAACCCCAAATCACAACCCAATGGAGCTCAATTTACAAATAATTCACATGCTGTAGACAAGCCCGCGGGGGGCCTCGCTACAGCTCGGACTCGACTTTCGTTAGTCACGGTTCCTAATCTGAACCAAAGAGTTCATTCTAACATAATAAATTTATACATTCAAGTTCATATCTTCATAAATTGTACATGCATGTGATGAATTGCCACATTCTCAACTTAGACAACACAAATGGTGATCAAGACATGTGTTTCAACCAAAACTCTACATGAATCATGTATTTTAAGCTTATACATGCTATTTTAAAACATTTCCTTACATGCATGCATATATCAAGCTTTAATCCAACAAAACCAACCCAATTTTATTTCAATCTTACTTTTGATCACCCCATTTAGCTTGAACACACAAAATTACAAGCTATAATCCAAGAATTACTCACCTAGAAGCTTTGATTCACGCAATCTATAACAATTCTTGGATTATCTTCAAGGTTCCCAAGCTTTAAGCTAAAATTTGCACAATTCTCTCCTCTCTCCCTCTCTACACCCGACTCTCCTCCTTTTCTCAAGGTTTGATCAGCCAAAATGAATACATAGGAGAGAATGGGAAGTGTAGTGAACTTACCCAACAATTCCCACTAACTCATGATAATAATAGTAAGTAATTGGGCACCAATCTACCAATTTAATCAACTTAATCTGGTCCGAATCAATTTTTCAATTAAATTTCACCGTAGGCTCTAAAAATTATGCCAATCGCAATGGCGTAATCAATTTCGGGTTCTGTGGCCGATAAGGCCCTCAATTTAATTTCCAAAGCAGGTTATTCAAACAGATATTCCTACGATGAACAGATAAAACTTCAAAATCATATATATTCGCATAATGGCACACAAAATCATATCAAAACATATAATCACATTGGCATTTGGGACCAATTAGCATAATACAGAACGGGGGTGTCACAATTTCCCCCTTTCTCAATCGTCCTCTAGGGTTGTTATGATTTCTTCAATTTAATTTGGTGTTGATTTCGAAAAATGGGTTTGGTTGAAGTGGTTTGATTTGTAAAGTTTTGTGGATTTAGTGTCCTAAATGAGTTTGATTTTACTGGTTTCATATATTTTCCCCTCTTTTTCCTTTCTCTCTCATTAGTTTTAAAGCCCTAATCCATTAATTGTATATGTACATTTGACCCTTCAATTTCAATCATTGCATGCTTTTTATATCTAGTTTTGCTAAAGCATGTCCTGTTTTTATTTGCAATCAGTAACTGTAATTCATCTAAAATACATTCGTAAAATGTTGTGCCTTACCCAATTGAGTTGGGGTTGCTCTCTCCAAACTTCTGTTATAGCTAATTTATGGGATTGTGGGGGTTTTTCCCCCCTGCAGGTGCATTCTCATTGATATTTCCAAGACTGGAGGAAGTCCTAAAAGAAAAATTTTGTCGAGAGAAGGCACCTGTGGATGGTTTCTACTCTAATACTACAAGATAACAATGTCACATTGCTGAAATAGCAGTAAAAAGGTTAGATTTTTGCTTGTAGCTTTGGAGTGGAAAAAAAATTGTGTACTGTACATTACTTGACATTTGTTTTTATGTGATGAAGGGAATTTATAGTTGAATGGGTGGGAAAATCAATTACAATTTTCATGGAATTAGTTGATTATATGTATCTGCGGAAGACTTAATCCAACATTTGGCTCATTGGTCACTGTATTTTTTTTTTGAAATGTTACTAACATTTACTGTCAATTGATGGATAAATATAGGAAGTCCTGGTTATGGTTTGTGAATTACACCTTCCCCAACTGGAGGAATGAAAACATTACTCATCTTCATGTACTGTTTATGCAATTATTTATTTATTTAAGTATGGAACAAAATCAGTGTAGTTGTAGTTGTGCCGCATGAGATTATATTTCAAATGTGGTATAAAATGAAGGTAAATGCAGTATTATTATTGTTATAAAAAAAAATAAGGCTCTATTTGGAACGATTTTGGAAATAGTTTTCTGCCCATACATTCTAACTTCACGTTTGGATACGACTTTCAAATTGTATTTCCACAACCAAGACAAAACTCTGTAGAAAACTCTGTTTGAGAGTGCGATTTTCAATTTTTTTTTTCGAAATTTGGCCTAATCGGTCATCCCACTGGTCATCCAGCCAGTTGACCGGCCGGTTGACAAGAACAGTGCAATTTTTTTTTTGATATGTTAATTTTTATATATTCGAAAAAAATATTTTTTGAATTTTTAAAATTTTTTATGTGCTTTAATAGAATTTTGAATTATATGTTTGGTTATGAGTTGTAAGTTATTGTATCAAATATCAAATGTCAAATCAAAAATTCCCCACTCAATTCAAAACTCTTTCACTAAACAAATTTTCTGCACTCAAATCATAATTCCAAAACTCACAAACTCAAAATACAACTCATACTCTCAAATCATAGTTACAAAGCTCTACCAAACGCAACCTAAGTTTTTCCCTAAACGATGCTATTACAACCCAAATTAAGAAAAAAAATGTACCCTTCAAATATATGATCCGTCAATTCATCCCTTATGATGTGGCACGGGGTCGAGTCTTAGGTGGTTAATTTTTAAACCAATCAATAACTTACATGGAGTAGTTCATATCATTGTAGGTATAAATTATATATTAGGGGTGGGGATTATGTACATGCAAATACATGTATATTTGGTCCCTCATTGCATGTATATTTGGTCCCTCATTGTAGGTATAACTGGGGATTATATAAATGGTTTAGTTTTGGATTTTTTTCATTTCATATACCCTGATAGTTTTTATTTTTTCAGTGTCAGGTCAATAGTTGCTTTAAATCTTAATAACTATGCGAGTGGAAGAAATCCATGGGGTAATCTGAAGCCCGAGTATTTGGAGAAGGTATAATTTTTTGGCCACCTAAAATGCCATATCTATTAGCATAATGATGATGCATTATAGTTGCTTTTTGGTAGGCCTTATCAAAGTTAATGACAAGTTCTTATAGTAGCATTGCACACATAGGTAAATAAAACCAATGCAATGTGTTTAGTAGATGTCAAATGTTGTTTTGAAACCTATAAGAACATTTGAATGGAAAAGCAGAATTTTCTTCTCCTTTAGTTGGTGTGATGCTGGTTCCCCTATAATAATTCAATGTATTCCCTTGAAAAAAAAATAAAATACCCCAATGATTGCAGATTAGAAATATGATTTTTTTTAAAAGCATTATACAACCCAAATGTCCTCGTAACTTACAATTTTAGAATTGTTTTTTGCCTGAATTATCTTATGTGGCTATGATGCTTCAAACTATGACCATGGTTCCTGGATGCATTTAGGCACTTCCTTTAGTTGTTCCCAAAGAAATATCCTCTAAGATATCAGGTTTGAGGCATGTTTGTTCTCTTCTTATTCTTCTCTATTGGGTGTCTTTATGTTGCATGAGCAGCTATGCATTGCATTTTTTTTGTATAAGATCATATGTGTTTGTTATTTTGTTTTTATTTGATGATAATTAGGATAGGAACTTATACTGCTTGCTTGATGTACTCTTAGAAAGAAACTATGTCAAATTTCAAGCTAAAAGCGGTGTTATTGAAATTGTTTCTTTGTTTTACAGAGAGGCTTTGTTGGAGCTCATGTGAATGCTGGTCTTCTAGAAATTTTTGGCCTAAAACAAGGATGGCTTGCTTCCTTTGTTTTGTCTGACCTTATTTCTGCTAAACACATGCCCAGGTACCACATGTTGAAATTTTCTTTCATTCAAGCAGGTTGCATATATACTAAACATGGCAGAAAATATATTAAGTTCTAAAAGAAAAAGAAAAGAGTAAGGAAACAATCTTTGAAAACTTATTCTTCATCTTCTTCTTCCGGATCCTCAATATTTTTTTTTTTGGGTGAATTTATAAACTATGAATAAACTAGCAGGCATACTGAATTGTCTAAATTCCCATATAACAAAAAAATTTCATTATTTGTGGTGGTTTGTGGATGTTATATTCATATACATAGAAAATGAAAATATGTAAAAAACATATTTCTTTGTTGTATCAATGGTGTATTCGTATCCTGATTTTTGGAAAAAACATATGCTTCTTAGGAGGAATATATACAACATTGAAAATTAAGGGAAATAATATTAAGAAACTAAAATTTCTATTAGTGTATACTTTGGGTATTTATAGACTTTGTAGCAACTCTAAGAGCACCTCTAACACCTAATAAGCACACTTTGTGTAGCAAAAATATATAAAAGTGAATTCTGTATTTTGCCTAGTTTGTATTTCAACAACACTTTTTTTACTATTGAGATTATGTTGTCTAGCCTCCAAGGTTGTCCACATGTAGCCAGCATAGGAGGATGAGGTAGAGACTTCAATTTTGTGTTGAGGCTAGACAAAATGTCTAAAATGCTCTAAATATCTCTCATGTTGGAGATGTTCTAACAAGCAATTTCTACTAAATTCAAGTGCTTGATGCCTAACTTTTCTGTTTGTGGAATGTTGAAATAAAATGGGTAATTAATTAAAAAATATTTACCCCCTCATCAAGTTGACACCATATTCTTATAGAGGTTGCAAAGCATGTACCAAGACTTTCGGTTATACTTAAAAAGCCTGACATGTTTCACATTTGTCCACATTTGAGCTTAGAGTAGTTTGTTTCTCTATTGAAATTAGATATTTCCTTTCATCTGATCGCGTCACCTTCTAGAGTTTAATGTGTCACCCACAATCCTGAAAGTTAGCATGCCACAATTTAACTACTGAACCAGTGGCCCTCTATAATTGCCCCCAAAGAGTAATACTCAAAAAGCCTGTCATGTTTCAATCCATTGTGAACAACTAGCCTAAGAATTATTATTGAGAAATTTAGTTATCAGAGTTGCTAGATTATATTTTTGGAAAATGTTTAGTCAAAAGTCTCTCACTAGCTTCAAGGTAAAATGTTTTATATATGTTGATTGTCAAAAATTAAGTTTCTTCTTAATAATGTTATCTTTTCTTGTTTTTATTGGTGTTTCAATTGTGTAGGAACAATCACTAGCTAATGTGAATAATGTGATGCAAATGAAGACAAAACATCGATGTGGATCAAAATCAATCCCGATCAGGGTATATAGCTCGATGCGTTCTACTAATTTATTTTATTGGATTAGTAGGGTTTGTTAGTATATTATGTTTCTATGTTAATTTAGTAGAAATTTCTTAATCAACTAGGGTAGAATAAAAAAATACTTTGACATTTAGGGGTGAAAGGTCACAGGAAAATAGTCAAATATGTATGTAAAGATCAGAGAAACATCACAAACACCTTGAGATGGATCAACATAAGTTGTACAAACTTACGAAAGAAGCGCCTGGCTCCCAATTTGAAAAGTACTTTGAAATTTGCACTATTTCAACACGTAGGCATGAAACTAAGTCAAAAAATGAACTTTTCCAACGCTTAAGCTTGAAAATAGGCCATTGGGGGGGGGGGGAATTGTGTAGCAGCCATGAGAAGGCCTAGGGAACACCTCAACCACCTCGGGAGGGATCAATGTAAGTTGTGGATACTTACGGAACTAGCACGGGACTTCCGGTTTGAAAACTAAGTCGAAAAATGCATTTTTCTCACACTTAAGCTTGAAAATAGGCCATCGGGAGCCAAAATCGTGTAACAATCACAAGAAGGCCTGGGCAACACCTCAAACACCTCGGGAGGGACCAATGTAAGTTGTGAAAACTTACGAAATTAGCATGGGACTCTCGGTTTGAAAATTAAGTCGAAAATTATATTTTTCTTACACTTAAGCTTGAAAATAGACTATCGAGGGCCAAAATCGTGTAACAGTCATGAGAAGGCCCGAAAAACACCTCAAACACCTCGGGAGAGACCAATGTAAGTTGTGAAAACTTACAGAACTAGCACGCCACTCCCAGTTTTAAAACTAAGTCAAAAAATGCAATTTTCTCACACTTAACCTTGAAAATAGGCCATATGGGGCCAAAATCATGTGACAGTCACAAGAAAGCCCGGGAACACCTCAAACATCTTGGGAGGGACCAATCTAAGTTGTAGAAACTTATGGAACTAGCACGGGACTCCCGGTTTGAAAACTAAGTCAAAAATTATATTTTTCTCACACTTAAGCTTGAAAATAGGTCATATGGGGCCAAAATCGTGTAACAGTCATGAGAAGGCTAGAGGAACACCTCAAACACCTCGGAAGGGACCAATGTAAGTTGTAGAAAGTTACGAAACTAGCACGGGACTCCCAGTTTGAAAACTAAGTCGAAAAATGTATTTTTTTCACATTTAAGCTTGAAAATATGTCATCGGGAGCCAAAATTGTGTAACAATTATGAGAAGGCCTAGGAAACACCTTAAACACCTTAGGAGGGACCAATGTAAGTTGTGGAAACTTACGGAACTAACACGAGACTCCCGGTTTGAAAACTAAGTCAAAAAAATACACTTTTCTCACACTTAAGCTTGAAAATAGGCCATCAAGGGCCAAAATCATGTAACAACCATGAGAAGGCCCAGGGAGCACCTCAAACACCTCAGAGGCGACCATTGTAACTTGTGTAAACTTACAGAACTAGCACGGGACTCCCGGTTTGAAAACTAAGTCCAAAAATGTACTTTTCTCACACTTAAGCTTGAAAATAGGTCATGTGCGGCCAAAATCGTGTAACACCCATGAGACGGTGGGTGGAACACCTAAAACACCTCGGGAGGGACCAATGTAAGTTGTGAAAACTTATGGAACTAGCACGGGACTCCTGGTTTGAAAACTAAGTCGAAAAATTTATTTTTCTCACACTTAAGCTTGAAAATAGGCCATCGGGGGCCAAAATCCTGTAACAGTCACGAGAAGGCCCGGGGAACACCTTAAACACCTCGGGAGGGACCAATGTAAGTTTTTGAAACCTACGGAACCGGCACGGGACTCCCGGTTTGAAAACTAAGTCCAAAAATGCACTTTTCTCACATTTAAGCTTGAAAATAGGCCATATGCGGCCAAATTCATGTAAAACTCATGAGACGGTGGGTGGAACATCTAAAACACCTCGGAAGGGACCAATGTAAGTTGTGGAAACTTATGGAACTAGTATGGGACTCCTGGTTTGAAAACTAAGTCGAAAAATGCATTTTTTTCATACTTAAGCTTGAAAATAGGCCATCGGGGGCCAAAATTGTGTAACAGTCACAAGAAGGCTTGGGGAACACCTCAAACACCTCGAGAGGGACCAATGTAAGTTATGGAAACTTATGGAACTCACACCGGACTCCCAGTTTGAAAACTAAGTCGAAAAATATATTTTTCTCACACTTAAGCTTAAAAATAGGCCATCGAGGGCTCAAATAGTGTAACTGTCACGAGAAGGCCTAGGAAACACCTCAAACACCTCAGGAAGGACCAATATAAGTTGTAGAAACTCACAGAACTCGCACGACACTCTCGGTTTGAAAACTAAGTCAAAAAATGCACTTTTCTCACACTTAAGCTTGAAAATAGGCCATATGGGGCCAAAATCGTATAATAGCCATGAGACAGCCTAGGGAACACCTAAAACACCTCGGGAGGGACCAATGTAAGTTGTGAAAACTTACAGAACTAGCACGGGACTCACGGTTTGAAAACTAAGTCAAAAAAATACATTTTTCTCACACTTAAGCTTGAAAATAGGATATAAGGGGGCCAAAATCATGTAACAGTCATGAGAAGGCCTGGGGAACACCTCAAACACCTCAGGAGGGACCAATGTAAGTTATGGAAAGTAACGGAATTAGCACAGGACTTCCGGTTTCAAAACTAAGTCGAAAAATGTATTTTTCTCACACTTAAGCTTGAAAATAGGCCATTGGGGTCCAAAATCATGTAACAGTCACGAGAAGGCCCGGGAACACCTCAAACACCTTGGAAGGGACAAATGTAAGTTATGGAATCTTACGGAACAAGCATGGGACCCCGGTTTGAAAACTAAGTTGAAAAATGCACTTTTCTCCGACTTAAGCTTGAAAATAGGCCATCGAGGGCGAAAATTGTTTAACAACCACGAGAAGGCCCGGGGAACACCTAAAACACCTCGGAAGCAACCATTGTGACTTGTGTAAACTTACGGAACTAGAACGGGACTCCCGGTTTGAAAACTAAGTCCAAAAATGCACTTTTCTCACACTTAAGCTTTAAAATAGACCATATGCGGCCAAATTCATGTAACACTCATGAGACGGTGGGTGGAACATCTAAAACACCTCGGAAGGGACCAATGTAAGTTGTGGAAACTTATGGAACTAGCATTGGACTCCCGGTTTGAAAACTAAGTCGAAAAATGCATTTTTTTCACACTTAAGCTTGAAAATAGGCCATCGGGGGCCAAAATCGTGTAACAGTCACAAGAAGGCTTGGGGAACACCTCAAACACCTCGAGAAGGACCAATGTAAGTTATGGAAACTTATGGAACTCGCACCGGACTCCCAGTTTGAAAACTAAGTCGAAAAATATATTTTTCTCACACTTAAGCTTAAAAATAGGCCATCGAGGGCTAAAATAGTGTAACTGTCACGAGAAGGTCCAGGAAACACCTCAAACACCTCAGGAAGGACAGATATAAGTTTTGGAAACTCACAGAACTCGCACGACACTCTCGGTTTGAAAACTAAGTCAAAAAATGCACTTTTCTCACACTTAAGCTTGAAAATAGGCCATATGGGGCCAAAATTGTATAATAGCCACGAGACAGCCTAGGGAACACTTAAAACACCTCGGGAGGGACCAATGTAAGTTGTGAAAACTTATAGAACTAGCACGGGACTCACGGTTTGAAAACTAAGTCAAAAAATGCATTTTTCTCACACTTAAGCTTGAAAATAGGCTATAAGGGGCCAAAATCATGTAACAGTCACGAGACAGCCTAGGGAACACCTAAAATAGCTCGGGAGGGACCAATGTAAGTTGTGAAAACTTACAGAACTAGCACGGGACTCACGGTTTGAAAACTAAGTCAAAAAATGCATTTTTCTCACACTTAAGCTTGAAAATAGGCTATAAGGGGCCAAAATCATGTAACAGTCACGAGAAGGCCTGGGGAACACCTCAAACACCTCAGGAGGGACCAATGTAAGTTATGGAAACTAACGGAATTAGCACAGGACTTCCGGTTTCAAAACTAAGTCAAAAAATGTATTTTTCTCACAGTTAAGCTTGAAAATAGGCCATTGGGGTCCAAAATCATGTAACAGTCACGAGAAGGCCCGGGAACACCTCAAATACCTTGGAAGGGACAAATGTAAGTTATGGAATCTTACGGAACTAGCATGGGACCCCGGTTTGAAAACTAAGTTGAAAAATGCACTTTTCTCACACTTAAGCTTGAAAATAGGCCATCGATGGCGAAAATTGTTTAACAACCACGAGAAGGCCTGGGGAACACCTAAAACACCTTGGAAGCGACCATTGTGACTTGTGTAAACTTACGGAACTAGCACGGGACTCTCGGTTTGAAAACTAAAGTCAAAAAATGCATTTTAAATTATATATTTAATTGATAAGATAATAATTGTCTAATTTACACTTTTTCTTTTTTATGTTTTGTTTTGTTGCAGATTCGAGATTAGATATGGACATGTTCGGTAATCTGGAGAGCAGAAGCTGGCTCATTTTGTGTTTTTGTTCATTTTACCTTACATGTATTTTGGTTGCATTGTAAATTTTATATTTTTGTCGGTATTACAGGACATGTTTGGTCATCTGCACTTGATATTATATTTTTGTGGATATTAGTAGTCATGTTTTTTGTGGATATTAGGAGACGTGTTTGGCAATTTGTATGTGGTTGATATTATATTTTTGTGGATATTACTAAACATGTTTTTTGTGGATATTAAGAGACATGTTTGGTAATCCGCATGCAGTTTATATTATATTTTTGTGAATATTGTGTTGAAATTCGACTACGGTGCTTATGAAAATGAATAGATTTTTGCATTTATTTGTAATAGATATTTTATTGAATAGGTTATTGAAATGCGCGGGGAATTTTTAGTGAAAAGAAAAATTTTAAATTGAAAATATTACCCCCATTTTAAATTTTTTTAATTATTATTAGCGACGAAAAAAAATGTTGCTATTAGATTTCAAACAACATGACGAATAATTTTGTCACTAGTGATATAGTACCAAACAAATAATTTCGTCACATTTGCTGAATATTTCATTGCTAAATTGAAATATTTGGTGACAAAATGTTTTTTGTCATTGAAGAATTTTCTTTTGTACTCATTTTAGTGACGGATTTTTTTGTCACCTTAATCTATAGATTATTTGTTTAGTAAAGAAAAATTTCGTCACTAAAACCTATTTGGTGACGGCAAAACAATTAAAATAAAATATTATCTAATTCTAGTGACGAAATTGATGTTATAGAGGACAAAAAATGCAACATTTGGAGATGAAAAATTTCATCGCCAATAATGAAAAATAGGCAACGAAACTATTTTTCGTCACCAGGTACTTTCAGTGACAACGTATAGGCAACAAACGTGGTGACAAAATTTGATGTTTGGAGACAATCAGTCTGTCACCAAAAGCCTTTTTTTGTTGTAGCGGAAATCAAAATTGACTATACTATTGTGATTAACATAATTTTTAGAGCTTACGGTGAAATTTGATTAAAAATTGATTCGGATCAAAATAATTAGATTAATTCAATTTAAGTGAGCCTCTTTAATTAGCAATACACTTTGATTAGCCATCTTGATTAGTCAAGCATATGTATATTGTTCTAATTGTAATTAAGCTCATTCTTGAGTTCAGAATTTTGAAGTTATACACCCTAGAGAGAGAGGGAAGTGAGCCTTAGAGAGAGAATGAACTCAACTTGGGAGATTTACTTGCTGAATTGGATATTTGAAGAGCTAAGCTAAAAAACTAGCTTAATTTTGAGGAATTACAGGCTCTAAGTAAGTGATTGAACTCTACATTCATGAACTTAAGTCATATAAATGTGACTTCAAGAAGAATGTATAGTTAAGTATGTGAATGGAGCAAAGATTGTAGGAATTGTGATCAATTTGGGCATGTGTAGACACCCCATTTTTGACCGTCCTCAAGACTTGGACGTCACCGTTTGAAAACTCGGTGATCATCCTTGTTTGTGTTCGTCTTGAGTTCCCGGAGGCCTCGGCTGCGCGCCTTGCCTCAGAATCTCTCGGCTCGACTGCTTTGTGTTTGGTTTTGCACCAAGAGCTTGTAGATGTGTTCCTGAGGGAAGGGGGTAGCCTGTTGACCAAGTCTCCTGCGCACCGGCCACCTTGATTTTCAATTGGCCAAGTGTGATGGCCGGCCGGCCAGTTTGACTGCCAGTCGGCCACTTTGATGGCCGGCCGGCCAAGTGTGGTTTTCAACAGATATTTCTGTAGACAGCTGGCAGCTGTCATTCTAGGCCATACCCCAGCCCATGCCTGGATGTGGGAGTTCTGAGGGGGCTGCAGATTGATATATCTATATCAATCAAGCTCTCTCAAAGAGGAGAAAAAAGAAGAGGAGAAGGAGGAAGGAAGAGGGATACAACTTGGAGAAAAAAAAAATTTCCTCTCTCTAAAATTCTCAGCTCTCTCCCTATCTCTCTCTCCCAAACCCTTCAAATCCTAAGGTTCTTGCACCCTTTACACTACACCTCCAAGCCTACAACCTCCATACTCCATTCCAGCAACTTGAGGCTGTTTTTCAGAGCTTAGGAACACCATTTCTTGGACCAAAAGCTGCTAGAAGTTTGGACTACAAGGGTGAGCCTCATTTTTCTCTCTTTTTGCTCTATTTTGCATGTAATCTTAGCCTTTGTTGCTTACATTTTTGGGCTCTGGCCTGAACTACAAATAGTCATATTTTTAGCTCCTTTTCATGTTTGATCAAGGACCTCTTGCTGTTTGAGGTCTCCTCCTCCCCCTTTGTGTTTAAACTCTCTTTTAGGCCTATTTTTGCATGATATTTTAGGCTTATTTGTGAGCTGTTTTGGACTTGTTCATGAACTTTGAAATGTCTTGTTTTGAGTCCCTCTTCAACTTTGTTGAAGGGCTCTCCTCTTGCCTTTCTATCCATCTTTTAGGCCTTTTTCTTGCATGCTGATTTAGCCTCACTTTTGTTCATTTTCGAGACTTGATGTAAACTGTAAAGTGCTTCATTTTGAGCCCCTCATCAACTTTGTTGAAGGGCTCTTCATTGTTTGGGGCCAGCTGCTATCCCTTGTCTCTAATCTCTCTTTTAGGGCCATTTTTGCATAATAGATTAGCCCTATTTGTGTTCACTTTTGAGATTTGTTATAAACTGGAAAAAGTCTCCTTTTGACATCATCTTCATGTTTGATTAAGGATATTTTCTTTTTTGAGGTCATATGCTTCCTTGTATGCTTCATTGTCCCTTGTTTTGAGCCTTACACCTAAGCCCCAATTGCATGCTTTGTTTGGCCTTTACCTTGGTTGCATATCAGTGGTTATTTGGGCCTATTTTCACATGTTTTGTTCACTGATTTTTGTTGGTTTGGTGAGATTCTATATGCTTCACACACTTGCCATGTAAACCATGTTTGCTAGTCAAAGTTGCATGCTATTTTAGTCCATCATGCTAGCATCTTTTGGCCATGCTTTGAACTGAAAATGTTCATGTTTTGGGACTGCCTTGGCTCTTTCTTTAGACTTCATGATCAAATAATGCATGCTTTGTATAGCTATAAGTCATTCCATGTGCCTAATTTCGAGTTGCGGGTTTCATCTCATGCATCGGGTGTCTTTTTTTCCATGTTCTGGGGCTGTTTAGCATCATACTTCAGTGCTGGAATTTGCATGTTCATATTCCATGTTTTATCATTTTCCATGCTTAGTTAGAGTTGCATGTTGTATCTTAGGATCGGTCCATGCATTGGACATATTTGTGTGCATTTCGGTTGCCTCATTTCCATCTTATTCGCTACTGATGTGAGTGTGGCTGAGGTCCATTCATGTTAGTGTAAGTCCATCCTGCATTGTGTATGCCTCGTTTCAATGCGTTGTACATGTTATGTCATTAGCATCGTGTGTGCCATGTAGTTGCATTGCATGCTTGTATGTTTGCTTGCATGCTTAGGTCGCATGTGCATTGTTGTGCATTGCCTCGCCTCTTGATCAACCATGATTGATGTTGGATCCCTTGTATGTTCTATGTGTATTGCATTTGACATTCAAATGCATGCTTGACTCTTCGGCCATCATGTATCGAAATACGCAATTGGTGGCCCGAGGGTCGAAGGCCATGCTCCCTTGAGTCCATTGCATGATAGGGGGTGTGGCCATGCATACATTTGCCTGAAATTCCATGCCATACATTGCTTGCCCTCTGCTGCTGTCAATTGCAGGTTCTGCAGGAAGCTTTAGCCGACCGGCCAAATATAGTGCCGAACGGCCAGTAATTTGTGGCCGACAGGTTAAAAGGCGGCCGGTGATCATTCCCTTAGGTCGGTGGTGTTTCTATTTGGTTGGTGGTATTCACCAACATCCAGAGAGCTTGCCCTTGGACTTTGGAAGTCCTCAGAGGAGTAGGGCAGTGAGAAAAAATAGAGGCAGTAGTGCTATGGCAGCGAGTTTTCGGGCGAGACGAGTCAAGAATGCATCATTCACGCATCCCGAGGCGAGGCTGTGGCCACCTTCTTTTGTTATTAATTTATTAATTAATTAGAGGGTCTGTAATAATTGGTTAGCTAGGATGGTTGATTCCTTATTCGGACTGTATTATTCTTTTGGACCCTCCGAGCAAGGGCAATTGTGTAATAAGTGTGCGTGAGCGTGTGTATGTCTTCCAACCCCACGTCTTTCTTCCCTTTTATTTACCCGCTTATGATGGTAGACTAGGGCATATTTAAATTAGCATACCTTATGCTATGCATGCGTGCATTCATACATTTGTCTTGCATGCACCGGGCTCGGCGCATCATTCTAACTGCATTTGTATTTCAATTCCAAATTGAATAAATGTTAGTTGTAGCATTTCATATGCCATCTTAGAATAGCCGAGCCTGCTATAGTTGCATTTTGTATGTGTTGCATTAGGCATTTCTGTATACTTAGGATCATGCATGATTTCTAATGTAGTTTCTATTTTGGCTTGGAGTACTCGGTAAGTTCTACGCTTTAGCATCCTTGCATGCGTGTGAGTGAATGCCATGAATAGCCTGCTTACCATGAGACTAATTGCTTATGTGACATATCTGTCTGAGAGCCTGTGGGTGAAGGTTGGGTTACTTAAATTGGAATAAATCATTAAATGTTTCAAGCCTACTTGCGGGTAGCAAATCATTTTCAAAAAGCGAACATGAAATGTTTTGTCCCAATTCAGGCGACTCAGTCTATACTTGTATGCTGTGCGCATCACATAGTAACCTAAGGCTAATAACCAGAATAAAAACGCATAAAGTTTTCAACAATGGATATCACGGTTAGTAGAGGCCGATCTGAATTAAATTTGAGTGGACTTGCACAGTGACACCAAATAATCCAAAACCCAAATTAGAAGCCGGAATTAAATTTGAGTGGACTTGCACAGTGACACCAAATAATCCAAAACCCAAATTAGAAGCCGGAATTAAATTTGAGTGGACTTGCACAGTGACACCAAATAATCCAAAACCCAAATTAGAAGCCGGAATTAAATTTGAGTGGACTTGCACAGTGACACCAAATAATCCAAAACCCAAATTAGAAGCCGGAATTAAATTTGAGTGGACTTGCACAGTGACACCAAATAATCCAAAACCCAAATTAGAAGCCGGAATTAAA